GAAACGCCGTCATGGATGGAAAAGTGTACACTGAGAAAATGAAGAATCCCAGAGCGGATGCTATAAACATCTTTAGCGTCTTGACGTTCTCGTAAGTACGAACATTTTACATTTTTGTCGCTTTATCTGATTTTATACTTTGAATAGTGTATTCTTTATTTGATAATATTAAATCTTTATAGAATCGTGGATGTATAAAATGTTCAATTAAAGTGTAAATGGATCAATTAGTTTGCGCTTCGATTACAATACATTTTTATAGAGTAATTATTTTTCATAACAATCGTCATAATAAATAGACAAATAACAGATAAAAAATAAGTAGATACATTTTGATTCGATTGTTTTACATATATTAGTAGATTAAATCTCGAATGATGATAAGCGAGCTAGGCGGGCCCAAATTATGGATCTGTAAATAATATATAAATTAATTGATAGTAGATTTTAATAACCTCTTACAGCAAATAATTTATAATATCTTAATGCATAATAAACAGATTTTAATGAATAACAATTTAGAAATAATTGATTTCAAATTAACTTTGATCAGGATCATCTTGGATCGATTCAGATCGAGGAATGCAAATCATTTATGCGAGATACTACTTAAAGTATCTTGGAAAATTAATATATCAGCGAAAGAAGCATAAATCAAAAATTAGATGAATTGTTAATGATTCGTGCGAGTAAAATGCGAGTAAAATGTTTTACTTTTCTTTTCCACAGTTGGATCTTACGTACTTTCTGGGTGGGTTACCACCGAGATCTTGAAGTAACTGATTTGTACACACCTCTTAAGGAGCACACAAGTGACGTTCTTGGTGACAAATTGGCAACGGCCTGGGAGAAGGAATGCGAGGAATACCAGTGTCGACTGAAGCAGGTCGCGAAGAGCGGATCACAGAAGAAGATTAAGGAGCCCAGTCTGATGAAAATGAAAGTTCTTATGAGATATTTTTGCCTCAAGATTATACTGTATGGGATTTGTGCGACCTTTGCGGAGATCGCGATCAGGTAGTCATTTCTTATCTATAAATTTCCATGGTTGGCAGTATTGCCTTACCTGTAATGCCATCACTTTGTTGACCGTTACCTTATTATAATACCGATTTGATAATAAGATTGTGAATTTTTTATGACAGTAATGTCATCAGAGTTAGAAGAATCAATCGTTACTTGTAACTGATTGAAAAAGTCATTCGTTATTGAAAAAAAACTTCTTTTCCATTAATTTGTAACGCGTTACTTTTTTACTCGCGTTACTTGTAACGAGTAACGCATATTTTTTTTTTCAATAACGAATGACTTTTTCAACTCGTTACAAGTAACGATTCATTTTTATAACTCTGATATTACCATTATGGTCATAACAAATTTGCAATGTTATCAAATCATTATTATAACAAGGTAATAATCAACGAAGTTACTCGATACTTATTACTCTTTTTAGTAAGTAACGCGTAATGATGACAAATTACTTTTCAAAATGACTTTTCTAATCTTAACACAATCTTAGCATTTAATTAATTAGCGTTACCGTCAAAAAATTGCATCGTCAAATTGTTTACTGTAGAAAGTAACGACAAAGTAACTAAAAAGTAACGTTTACCAACACTGTAAATTTCCTTGTGGATTTTTATCCCAATTTTTGTCATTTTCTACACTGGACGGTGTCATTGACGATTATAATGAGCTATAAAACACAAATTATTTCAGCAATACTGCAACAACATTGCACGCCCCTGCAATATAACATTGCAAACGTTGCGGCAATATTGGTGCAAGCTTCTGTGTTGTATGAGTTTTTGTGAAGTGTTTAGGAAACATTAATGGAAATAATTTTATTGAGAAGTGTGGAAAACAACAGAAATGTTCCATGCATGTTTTACAGAGTGTTCGAGGAGCGTATATGGATATTCGAAATTGCAACGAGTCAATAGAAATCATTGAAGTTTCTAAGAAACGTTAAATCTCTTTGTTTGCACTTTTTGGCGCTTCCAGAAACTTTTAATTTTTACCAGGGGAGTGTTGCAGCCGTTACTGGTAGGCCAGATGTTGCACTACTTTAACTCTATGGACGTCGATAAGTTGCACGCGTACAGCTACGCCGTCGGCATCATTCTCTGCTCCGCTATTAATGTGTTCCTTACTCATTTGACTTTGATGGGTATTACGCATACGAGCTTGAAGATTCGCGTCGCATGTTATTCACTGATTTATCGCAAAACGTTGAAGATGACCAGAACTGCGCTGAGCGAGACGACAATCGGTCAGATAGTCAATTTGCTATCTAACGACATCAACAGATTCGAGATCTATCTCGTATTTCTCCATTCTCTGTGGTTCGGACTTTTAGAGACAATTATCCTCACGTACGTAATGTACTACGTAATCGACATCGGCGTATCGTCTAT